TCGGCCGGGGGGCTGTGGCCGGGGCTGCCTGGCCGTGCGCCCGGCGCCGCCACCTCCCTCCTCTGGAAGGCCGTGCAGGTCAGGCCCACGTAGCTGTGGGGCTTGATGAGGTAGGCTTCCAACGCCACGTTCCTCGAGTTCTAGGGACAGGGCACTTGTCACCCCAGCATCTGAGGTCTGGTGGCCTGCCAGGGACTGTGCATTCCCTCTGTCCAGGTGCTCTCAGGCTGCGCCCCCCCTTATTCCTCACAGTCTTTTCAAGGCTTGGCCACTCTTCCGTCTGCCATGGAGTCTACCAGCCACCCCTGGCCACGGACTGTCCCACTCACATGTCGGCTCCCGTCGTGCTCACCTCTAAGGTGTGCTGGTCCGGCTGCCCCGGCCCAGCTGGAGGGCAGGCTTCGTGTCTCACCCACTTCACATCTCCACAAGTGCCTGGCGCAAGGCCTGGCACGGAGAAGATGCTCTGCCGTGGCTGTGAACTGGGCACCTCGCCCTCCCTCAGGGAGCTCCGCTACCCTTCACTGCACGGCAACTGCTGTCTGCCCCGCCGCCGAGCCTCCTCCTGTCCCTTCTGCTCCTTTCACTGTCCCCCTATTTCTTTCTATTGGGCCAGCCCTGCAGCTCAGTCCCCCATCACGAAGTCTTGCATAACTGCTCCAGTGTCACTGGCACCCTCCTCACAGTGTCCCTGACCACTCAGAACTGGACAGCACCCGGCCCGGGGCTGAGTCGCGCTGACTGTTGCTGCCAGCTGGGGCACGGCAGGTGCACACCTGACAGGGAGGTGGGCCCGTCCACTCCAAGCTCCCCCCCAGGGCCAGGCCTCCAGGGGGCTCCTCCCGCGCGGGCCACATTACCACAGAGATGTGCTGGGCGTGGGGGCTGAGAGCGGCCCCCCCGATGCGCTCCAGGGCGCCCACGATGCCGCTGCAGGCCTTGTCCTCGCGCTGGGCCAGCCACAGCAGGTGCTCGTCCACCAGCATCAGGTTGCTGGCCATGTCCACCATCACCTCCGCCAGCTGGAGGGGCAGGGGGGTCACTAAGGGCAGGAGTGGGGTTTGGGACCCTGGGCTGGGGTGTGAGAGAGGCTTCAGCAAATGAGGGGGACGGTTTCCAGGGGACCCAGACGTCCAGTAGAATCTCACCTCTTTGATCTGGTCGACATAACCCAAAAACTTCTGGATCATCTGAGCCACATAGACTACGTCCATCATGTCCGAGAAGCTGGCAGCCTCGGCCGTGTACACTCGCAGCTGATGGGCCAGGGTCAGTGCGTTGGAGGCGTTGATGGGCATCTGCGGGTGTTTGGGCAAGAAAGAGGATCGTCGGTCTTGTTGCTTCTGCCCCAGAACTGCCCCTAGGGGGCCCCAGTCCTCTGTGCTGATGCTCCGGGCGACAGTGCCTGGGAGAGGGGTCTGGGTCCCCTGTGGGGTCTAATCAAGACAGGAGGCGCCTGAGAGGCTGTGACCATTGCAACGAAGGCCGCCCCTTCCAGCACCACCAGCCTAAGCACAGTGGGACTGTGCCTTTGATGTGGGGGTGAATGAAGAGGTGTGGGGTGGCCAAGGAATGGGATGGAGGCCTGCTCCCCTTCCCCAGTGTGGCCGTGGGGGATCTGAATCCCCTGGAAGAGGGAAGCTAGAGGAAAGCACCCAGGGGCCAGGTGCCTGCCCCATCCCCCCCGGCTGAGCACACCCAGGGAGCGCAGGTGCAGCACACAGCCTGGAGGCTGGGGTCCCCACCCTCGCGGGGTGGGCAGGCTTCCTTCCTTCCCCATCCCCCGGACCCAGCGCTGGTGGGGTGCCCCTGCCCCTCTCCTCTCCTAGTCTCACCAGCACGAAGGTGTACAGCACCCGGGTGATGTCGTTGGTGTACAGACAGTGGGAATAGTCCCCTGGCTCCCAGCGTCCAGCTCGGTCACACCGGCGAGAGGCTCGGGTGCCAGGGGCACCCCCGCTCAGGGGCACAGAGGTGAAGGGATACTGTAGGCAAGACTGGTAGGCTGTGATGCCAGCCAGAGTTCGAGGCCACCTGAGGGCAGAGGCGGGAGGTGTGGAGGATGCAGGTTCCTTAGGGCAAGGGCCCTTCCCGTGCCCTTAGAACTGTGATGCGATTCCTGGGGCCTTGCGGAAGGATCTAGGAGAGGGGGTTCAGACCAGCCTTCAGGAGGTTCCCAAACTCTACTTTCTAACTCTGTGTTTGTTCTGACAGTGCTGTCACAGGTGACACGGGGCAGGACTCAGAGTTCTGAATTCAAGTGCAAGTTCTGCTGCTTCTTAGCTACGGTCTTAGGCAAGTTATTTATCCTTTCTGGGCCTCAGTGTTCTCAGCTGTACAGGGAGCAGAATAATACCTGCCCTACCTAACAGAGAGGGTCACTGGAATATTAAACTGTGATATTCTACGTGGGTGAGTTTTTTGAACCTATTAATATAAGAAAACAAATGAAAGATGTTCTGTGCCGTGCAGCCCATCTCAGATGGTGACTTTACACGTAAAGACAGGGCCCCTCTTTTCTTTGTGGCAGCTGGCTGGTCCAGGGATCTGAACCCTTGGCCTTGGTGTTATCACACCATGATCTACCCAGCTGAGCTAACCGGCCAGCCCCATAGGGTCTCTGTAAATGCAACAGCAGGACTTTGGGCTGAGTGACAAAAGGAAGCGTTTTCTCCATCTGTGGGCCTCAACTAAGAGGGTGGACGGGGAGACCCTGGTCACCGGTGCCCTCAGATGCACAAGCAGGGGTGGGGTGGGGGCAGCCCTCTGCAGAGCAGAGCAGGGCCCAAACCTGAAGTCCCCGCGGTTGTTGGCAACACGCTCTGCGGGGCAGTAGGAGGCGGAGGTCTCCAGCACCACGATCTCCACCTTCTTGCTGGCGTTGCCCTGGACCGTGGACACGGAGCACTCCCACTCGCCCGAGGCCCACACGCCGATGTGAGACAGGGTCAGCTCGCTGTGGGCGGGTGGGCGGGCAGGGGGCTGCTGGGCGAGCCACGCTGGGACCCAGCCTGCTGCCCTCCCACAGCACCCACCCCGGGCACTGGCTTCGGCGTGTCTCTTCCTTAGCTGAGTGGGGCATACGAGCACTCGCTCCTTTTATTCCGATCGCCTCATGATATTTTTCTCCTGAGCTTCAGCTTCCCCATCTTTATCGTGGAGAGGAAAAGACCTCTTTTGCAGGTCTGTGCTAGAGGTGACATCTCATGGCACAGACGAGAGCCACCGTACACATTGTGAAAGCACCAAAGGGAAGTCAGACATCATCGTTCCACCGTTTTTGTCTATCAGGTGTTTAACTTCTAACCTCTGTTCAGACCACTTATGACTTAGTCCTAGATCTCCACACACACACGCACCCTCCCAAGAGCAGG